TGGCCCTGCGCATCATGTCACCAGGGTTCCGAAAAGGTGCGCCAATCTCAGGGACTTCTCTGATTTGCCTGCTCTCTATTGGTATCCTTGAAGCAAACCTGCAACAATGCACCTGGTTTAACATATTTGTCCACATGCCGGCAGACTTGTGGAGATGTCTCTCTTCATGATACGGGCCATTTTTATGACTTTCTCATCGCTTTGAGATGATTTGCCATGGTTTTGTTTGGTCCGTGCTTTGCAAAAACCATTTGCAAAATGGTCTCCTTTGGTCCATGGGCTACGGCAGCTCAACTGCGAAAAGCCGAACATGGCTTGCTGCCCCAGCCCTTTCTTGAGGCACTCTAGCAGGATCCTGGGAGGTACTAGCTTGCCCCTGCATTCCTTGACCTCCACTCCAAGCAAGGTTCCTTTTTGTGCGTTACCCCGAAAACAGCACTCAACCGCACATGCTTATGTAGTGAAAGAAAGAATCGCTCTGACTCCAGCTTGTGTGTTTTGCCTGGTTAGGCCCTGAGCATCTGCCCATCCAAAGGCCGGCAGCTCTTGCTTGGGTTCGCTTCAATGTGCTGTGAAGAGACTTTCTCGGAGTGTTTGCTCCCTTGACAACAATGGAACAACATGACACCCTACCTCCTGTCCGAGTCCACGTCCACGATACTGCAGCTGAATGTTGCACTGGTGATGCCAAAACGAAAATCCCATCCAACTGAGGGGCTATCTTCCAGTCAGGCTTTGAGTCCAAAAAAGGCAAAGCGCCCGGCTCTCTGTCTATCCCTCTGTTCCACCAGTGATGGCATACCAGCATGGAATTCCAGAAAGCAGCCAACAATGCTCTCTTCATGTTTCCGCTTTTCTTTTTTTTGGGGGAAGGGGGGTGGGACATGCTCCAGAGTTTGTTTGCAGCTAGGAGTGGTGACATTGTTGTGTTCAGGCGCCAGGGCTGTCAGCATTGATTTAACAGGTTGCTGATATGCGTATGTAAAAAATATGTGTATGTTGCGTAGAGTGATGCACCAACACATTGTCCGTATGACCCTGCGTGATGCTCTGCTAACTTGACAACCCGAAACAACTTTTGCTTCCTAAGTGGGGAGGCAGCTTTTACAAAGAAACTTTAAATTCAATGTGCGCCTTCCAAGCTCCTCATGGCAATGATCATGGATTTCTGAGGAGTCCAAATGCTGGCCAAAGCCAAGCTAGCAAGCCCAGGCCAACAGATCTTTTGACCGCGCACAGCGAAAAGGCTGGTTAGGTTGGAACTGGGGATCTGAACCACTTGATGAAACCAAGGAGAAAGGCAGCCGTCGGGCCTATAAAAGTGACATCCTCAAAGTTGCCCCCCCCCCCCAAAAAAAAAGAGGTTGTTTAAGGGGAAAACAACCCTCAAAAGTATTGTTGAGAACCCCTCAAAATGCTCACTTCACTGGCCCATTGGACCCAGCCCTAACCTATTCTATTCCCACGTGCGAAGAATCAAATCTGCACAGAAGTCTTGAGGCTCGCACAGCCCAGTAGCAGAAGGAAACCTGGGACTGTGCGTTTGCCGAGGCATTCGCCGAGCTGCAAACGCACGCCACAAGTAGGAGAAAAAGCCAGCTTGAACAAAAATGAAAGCGGGGGGTTACCACCCTCTGGGAAGGGTCTGCGGGAGTGCGGTTCTCCGGGGATTTCCGCAAATTGCAGTCTTTGCTATGTTGGTTTCGGATATGTATTTGGCAATTGCCAAGGAATTCTGTCTAAATTTTAGATTTCAGATAGAAATTCGAGTAAGATTCGAATAAGTAAGTGCTGATCGACTCCCATTCAAATTCTGTTCAATTTCAAGCTATGTTTTTGGAGTGACCGTTGGCGAACATGTGTTTTACGATGCTTCTGACAATGGTAGTGCTTGGCGCTAGGTGACGATTTGTCGACCTCTGAAGTACCTTTATCAACTTCTCTTCTATCCATGAATCTAAATAGAATTGAATAGGGAAAGAAACAAAGACTTTTATCAACTACTCACAATTGTACTATGTTTAACCAAAATCCCACAGGAGTTCCTGTCCAATAGAATTTGCTTTACAAATCAGCGCACAGTTCCTATGCAATAGAAATTGCTTGACAAATCAGCTAACATGTCAACACCCGGAACAAGCACGCTGGCATCACCAGCCAGAATCCCTGGCATCACTCGGCCACCATCTCCAGCATCCCCTGCATCATCTTCAACAGGGGCTCTTGATCCCAAAGCAGAAAAACGGAAACACACATGCATCTCCAGCATCCCCTGCATCAGCTCTGCATCTTTTCTTTTACTTTAACCCCAACGTCTGTCGACCTGAAGGCTTTTCATGATTCAACAACAGTCGTTAAACCTGAAGTACGGGTTCCCCAGAAGGAAAGGACCTACGTCATGGGGATATCGCCCCACCCCCCACCCCCCCCCCCCCCCCGATATCCCCCCTCCCCGCTTGCCATAGGAGTAGTGGGCCGCTCTTCCAAATTGTAAATGCATGTGTTAGATGAGTTTCAAGTTCGCCTTTCAATGTTGAAGTGCCACAACTGAATCATGCCTTAAGCGATTCCATTTAATTGGCAAATGGAACGATTTGTCGGTTGTTGCACCTCGCAAACAAAAGCTGAGGCAGACTTGATTTGTTCTGCCTGCAGTTGGGATCTCTGGGGAATGTGTTGGTTGGGTCTTGCTTCAGCATCGGTTTAGAAACCTCCTGCAACACAGGATCTGTTCCGGGAAGCAAAGGTTATGAATAAGTTGTTGCCTTTTTGTGGAGGCTTAAGAGGATCTTCTTTCCGAGTTCCTCAATGTTCCCTTGTAAGCAGGTTCACGTAGCCGGAGCGATTCCTTTTGGTTGGATTGTGTGTAGGTGTTTTGCCTTTTCGTTGGGACGGTTGCTGCAGTCCCCTCTCGGGGTTTCACAGATCTTCCCCATTACAATCTCTATTTGGGTTTTACGCTGAAACAGCCTGCCCCCTACCCTTGTTGCTGCCTACTGGCAGTAGTTGTTCAAGAAAGGGCTCAAGTTATAGTTGCTCCCCCGCAAATTGATATTGAACCCCAAAAACCATCTTGGGGTGTCTCGGAAGGAGTGAACCCTCAACATGGTTGGCTTCCTTTTGGTTTCCCTTTAAGACCAAATGGAGGTTCCCAGAAAAAGGACACACCCTCAAAATGAGGAAGCTCCTTTCGGGCTTTTGCGGGTTCCTTCCGTAGATTAGCAGCAACCCAAGAAGCACAAGCCATGTGGAGGAAACTCAAAGGTGATGTCTGACACCACCCTTCAATTGGTAAATATGGGTCAAGCTGCGAGGACCCAACCTGTTTCCTTTTGACTCCTTCAACCGACCTCACCAGCTTTGCAAAACACTCACAATGACTCACACGTCCACATGCATCTCCAATATGCACATGTTCCTGCATTTGTATCTGCATCATAGACATACCCATTTTGGGGCATGCGAAGTGCAACCACCGGGTCTGGCGTCTGGGGCTCCGTGCCACGAAGGAGATGATGGCGGCCCAGGAGAGGTGCTCCACCGTCGCGGCGCAGATCACCGGGGTCATCACGGAGTGGACTATGAGCATCACCGTGATCATCCTCAGAAAACCCAAAAAATCTTGCCGCGAGAGATGCTAAAGCTCGGCCCTGAAAAAAGACCGGCCTGGTCTCTTCCAAGGGCCTCAACTTGTGCCCGAAATGGATTCAGCAGTTGGAGTCGACTGATACTTCGTCTCTGTGCCTGGACGTTGGGTTGATTTTAAGCAGGGCGGTGGGAAATGGAATCCACTTCTGTGATACAACAAAAAGGCCCTCCCAAAGACTACCCCCCCATACAAAGAGGGGATTCCCTTGTATCACAAACTCTTGCACCCAACTTCTTGCCGCGAGAGATGCGATGGGTCCCTCTGAGACAGGGAATGACCCCAAACCATCCAACTGGTGGTTTTGTTTTGCGGGGGATCCCTGGGTTCATTCCCTCATTCCCGAACTATCGCACCGGCAAGCAGATCCGTAAGGAAACCCGGGTTAGCAGGGGAGTAGCTGGTGATGAAATGAAACTGGGCTACAAAGCCTTCAGCTCAATGTCAGAATGTGCCAACACAATACAAATCATCGTCTATGTCCCAAAACAACTGAGCAGCTCCATCTTTTAAAATAGCTAATTTCTCAGAAACCTATTGATTTGGTGGACTCTGGGACATCAATTCCAAAGGGGAGCATAATGGTGATGATCCTGAGCCCCAAAATCCAGAAGACAACCCAGGTTGTTGATCAGCCTTCAGCGAACGCTAACTGGGCATTATTTGGCTTGATGGTGATCATCCGAAGCCCCAAATCCACAACTTAGATGGTATGGGGGTTGGCTGCTAAGTGGTTAGTAACCTGAGTCACAGGTTTAAAGAGGCTGAGCACTTGCTTGCATGATAATAACGATGGTGATCATCCTTTGACAAGCAATCCCTATGAGGTGATCATCCTCTTCACAATTTGAGAACACTCAAACACCCATCAATTTGATGGGATTAGATTAATCCGAATGGGAATAGGCGTGATGGAGCGGCATGTGGTGATCATCGGAAGGGAGCCCCCAATTCCATAAGGAAACAGAGAAGTAGTCAGCGTTCTAGGGCATGATGGTGATCATCGTTTGCCAATAAAATAAGATGATCCCCCCGGCATAATATGTTGCATTGATCCCAAATGAGCCCAACATCCATAAGGTAATTTGAAGCATCCTACAGGTCTCTTCAATGAATTGATGATGATCCTTGTTCAAGCTTTGGCCCAACCAAAATCAGGTGGCTTTTGCTTCAATGATGGTGATCCTGCTTTTCCAAGCGAGTTTTATATGAGGTGATCATCACAACAGAGTCCCCCTTTCGCATGGAGAGTCTGTGAAACCGAATAGAACTTTTGGGGTAAAATGGTGGTCATCCTCGCGCCAGCTCGCTAAGCTCAACCTGAGGGTATCCCGCATCTGAATGGACCCTCAAGGCTTTTCAAAATGGGTTTGACTGTTTTGGGGGAGCCACCTGACACTTGAGCATGCTCGGATACATTGCGCACACCAAGAATTTCAGCGCTTGCTTTCGCATGGTTGTGATTATCCAAAGGGAAACACAGGTTTATTGCACACATAATATATTCGTACGTTGTGTTTTGACTTATACACCTCAGATCTTACATTGAGATAGGACAGACATCCGGAGGGTGTCCCGTCAGCAGATGGTGTGCCGTGGTGATTGTTTTGTGACAAGTGGGTCAAGCAACTTCCATGATGTTGAAGGGAAACTCAGGATTCAGCAGTCCTTCAGTAGCCTCCACTTGTTCTGCATTGTTTGTCTTTTTTTCGACTTCTGCATGCCGAAAGTCATCATGACGAGCAATTGGACAACCATGCCAAACACATCTGACATCCAGAACATATCGAATTCGGGAAGCAACATCATCAACTTCTTTGCACTCATGCCAAGCAAGCGGATGACAGAAGGTTCGCCTCTGGACCGATAACTTCGAGGAAACAAAAGGGGATCCCCTCCAAGGACGTTTCTACACTTGTGGAGACCCGGTCCCTTTTACGTGGTTTACGTTCTGAAACAAAAACTCCAAAAGGCGAAGAACACGCAGCATAAGTCTTGTGTTCGCTCCCTGGGCAGAGGTAATTAACGCATGAAAGGCGGGGCACAACTCGGCACATGGCAATTTCAGATATGTGTCAAAGTACGGGACGGTTTCCTTCTGGTTCCCCGTTGAAATAACCTGAAAAGAGTAGCCTCCAAAAACAGCGACCCCCATCTTTTGCCCAAAGAGGCTGCGCCAGGTGGAAGGGGATGGGGAAGTCCGTAATCTTCCGAGCGTTGTTCAGGTTCACGATGCCTCGCCGCCAAACGGAACTTGGATGCAGGATCCACCCGAACGGCTTGGATGCGACGCATCTGGGGTTCCACCTCCGGACATGAAAGGAGTAACATGGGGGAAGAACTGTTGGAATCCACCAAAAGTGCAATCGTCGACCGTTTTCTAGATAGCTGGTATGAACGGGGGGCGCTGTTCCATGGCTTTCACGGTAAAGCACGTGATCAAAACCTCAAGCAGTCGGCCGTCTCGAGTGCAAATAAGAGGGAACTCCTCCAACTCATTTCCCATGAGCCATGGTGGAACAACTCCTTAAGCAGACAGAACTAGATGTTTCTCCAACAAGACAAATTGAAAATCGGTGGTTTTCTGGGTTTTAGGGTTAGGGTGCACCCCCCCTCTCGTCCTCTGCAAAACAACGGTAGGTGACTAATCATCTTCTCTGTGACTCATGTGGGTCATGGTCGTGGCTCCCTAAATGTGAGCTCTTGCAAGGGTTAAATCCTCAATATCCATCCCGGCCAACCCCAAGGGGGGTTAACGCCTGCAGTGTGATATGTCACAGGATGGCATTGACACCTGAGCAATGACTACCTTCATGCTGAAACAAGCAAAGCATGGAGTCGGGTAGATTCGTTCAACAGAGAGACCAGCACCTGTAGCAAAACAGCATGTTAACATATTCCATTCAGGCAGGGAACAACGCAAATAACATATTGACGTGTGCATGTGTCAAAAATGGCCTCCGCCGCTGTTGGCGGCAGTGGATGGTTTGCAGTTTCGGGGCGGGGTATCTGGGTTGGTCTTCAGGTCATGTGCAAGCTGTCCTGCGGCTTGCCTTTCGAGATGTCAACCACTCCTCTTCTGCAGCTCGCCAAAGCAACGGTATAACCAAAGCCACGAACCCGGAACTCTGGCCTTGGAATCCCTGTGGTAATGCGTCAGGCAGCTGGAGCTCCGGGTTAATCAACCAAACATTTGCACAGTTGGAACTACGCAGTGGCGTCACAACGCCAAATGTCGTGCCGCCTCACTCTGGGCAGAATTCCCAGATCCGTTTTGGTGAGAGGTGAACATGTACAAAGCGCACTGCCGTTAAGCTCTGCGTTGCCTAGTTTTGACATATGAGCCAAAGTCAAAATACAATGTACAATACAACGCGTCCAATAGAGGACATAGATTCGATGTCCTCTTTGGAAACATTGTTCTGGGAAACAAATCGGTGGTCTCGTCCCTTGAAATCAAACCCAAAAAGGGTACTCACTCCAAGATCCCCCCGACATGCCCTTCTGAGTTTTGCCCCTTCACAGCCCATAAAACATATTCCTCAGCTTGTGCCCTGAATCAAAATGATATCTTTGGTTTCTGGCCCATATTCACAAGTCTAATTGTGTCATTCTGTATGATCAGTTCCAAACAGATCGAATGATCGCAACCAGTGTGTCTGATTCTGGTCCATAATTACTTAGTAAATCTGAACATGTAACAACAAATGTCAAAACAGATCCCAGGAATTGGTCTTCCATAGAGGCAGTCCCCTTTACATGGTGGCCTGCTTGTGCTTTCCCAAAACATCCCCTTCGGGCCCTCTTCTTTCGGGAACCAACCCACAACCGAGGCGCCATTGCCCAGCTCGTTGAAGACCCGGGACAGGATGGGCGGCGCGATCTTCAGGATCTGCTTGGAGTCGCTCTCCACGATGAGACCTCGGTGCTTTGGCGGGTGAGGCGATTCAACCCCTTGTTTCCTCCCATCAGACTCACATGAGGGTTCCATGTCAATCTGCAGCACTGCAAGCATTCTCAAACCAAGCCTGCCGATTGTTCGGCCTCAAAAAATAGGTTGTTTTCAAGTGGCGTTGAGGGCGCACAATTTTCAGCTACATTGCTGACATGTTTCTGCCAAATGTCGGATGCGCTAACGACCTGAAATGAGGAAGCACCAAGAATGGAGAACAGCACTGGTAAGGTCGCCTTATCCCCTGAAGACTTCCAATCACGCAAGGCTGCTTTTTTGCTACCCGGCATTTGAAACAAACTCCAAACCGCAGTCATCAGCGCCGGCCTGGAGTAAGCAACTTACAACTTCAATGTGGTAGTACATGGCAGCAACATGAATGGGCGTGTTCCCCACGATGTCTGCCCTGTCCTTGTCAGCACTGGCTTGCAGCAAGCACCGCACGCAGTCTGCATGACCGTTCTTGGCCGCCATGTGCAAAGGGGTGCGCCCGTAATTGTCGATCTTGTCCTTGTCGGCGCCGGCTGCCAACAGGCAACCTACAACTTCCTCAAGGTGGCTCCGAAAAGCCGATGGTCATGGTAGAAAGTTGATTGCTCCCTAGTGAAGAGACCCAAAGGAGCCAAACAAGTTTTCTTGTGGCTTTCTGTTTGAAGCTCAGGGTAACCTTGTTTGAGCGCTTATTGCCGTTGCCTGATGGCCGTGCATCGCCGCCACGTGCATAGGAGTCCACCACTCGGCATTTCCCTGATCCTTCTGTGCGCCAGCCGCCAAGAGGCACCCCACAACTTCCGCATGGCCGTTCCTTGGTCAAACAATCACCCCCCTGTCAAAAGTTTTGACTTGTTGCTAGGCACTTTACACGGTCATTTCGGCCTGACTGTCTTTCAAAAGTGAGAAGCCGTACTTATGGCTATTTGCGTACGAGTACCGGGTCAGTCTCAAACTTAGGGAACCAACATGGGTGGTCTCCTTTCGCTTCCCTGTAAACAACCCGCAAAAAAGGCACCAAGTAAAAACAAGGGCTCCCGTAGCTGAAGCCTGTGTGTAACTCCGTCCTAGCCGAACATTGCACAACATTTCAGCAAAGCCCTTTGAATGTCCGTGAGTCACTGAATCCTCCCGAACAAATGAGCCCACTCCGACTCGTATGGTCGAACACAAGCGCAACCCAAGACTAGGAATCCCCGCAAAATCATTTCCTGCAGGCAAATAGGGCACTGACTCTCAAAAAACAGATGGAAACGTGTGCCATGGTCAAAGCTCCACAGACATATCAAACATGATCATGGTTTTCTTAGCAGGAATGCTATACTTGCTGTCCAAAACCGAAGTAAAGGGTTCGTGACCAGCCATACCAACCCCACGCAAAGGGTGTTTTGACCACATGTGGGGAACACCCATCGCATATATAGGACCCCCAAAGCTGTCAATTGGCCCTCCAACTAGCCCAAAGGAGGTCCTGGCAGAAAACCCTGTGATTTCGCAGTGTTAAAAGGGCCCCCTAAAAGACACCCGCTTGGTTTATTAGGTGACCTTCGACTTTGGCGGCCGTTGGTGCCCTGGTAGTCCTTTTGGACACTTTTGGTGCAGTACTGGTAATCAAGAACTGAACTCAACCCAGCGCCACCAGCTTTCAACCATTTCAACCAAACTGACCAAAGGACACCTCTGATGTATAGCACAGATTCTTGGCTGCCAGATGCATGGGTTCCCACTCCCCAGCGCCGAGCTTGGCGCCGGCCTCCAGCAAGCACTGCACTACATGGAGGTGCCCGTTTTCCGCCGCACCGTGCATGGGCGCCTTGCCTGAAGCATTCACACAGGGGGTGTCAAAAATATGGCCCACGGTTGAACCCTACGGCCTTATGCCGCCTGTCAAAGCGGGATACAAGGAAGCAACCCCAAATGGCCCTAACATTGAAGACCTCTCGACAGGCTCCACACGCCTTGCATGACTGGAGAAAGGGCAACTCAACCAGTTGCCCTGGATCCCGTTAAAGGGGTAAATGATTTAAAGGTTGAGACGTGGTCCGAGCATGTACGCCAGCCAGTTGCTTGGACACCGCAAATTACTGCCAGTGAATGTGGCAAAAGTCATCATCTTGGGGTAAAGTCTGGGCGAATGATGGCTAATTCACAAACGAATGACTTTTGGGAATCCCCAAGACCTTCATCCTGGGTGAGCTCGTGTTATGCCCAAATGAATCCGGTTGAGAGGGAAAGGGAAACTTGGATAATTCGATGTTTCAACAGTTGTTTAAAACTATGATCAACAAATTTAGACAGCGGTCCCGCTTCAGGGCTTAAACATCAACCTCCCTTTAAACAAATCTCTTTGAACAATGGCAGTTTCGAGACTCTTCAAAAGTGGCAAGCGTGGTTCACCCCCCAAAGTCTAGAGGAATGGAGAATTTGGATTCCGCTTTCATCGCCCTGCCTCTTTCATCGCAGGTGTCCGGGTCGAGGGGTTCCTCCAAACGGCTCACGACCGCTTCCACGTCCCCCTGGCTCGCGGCATCCAAGAGCCGCCCGCCAGAAAGGCTCCGAAGCGGGTAGGGCCGCACCACCGCGACCAGCGGCGCTTGGAAGTCGCCTCAATCCGAGCCATTGGGCGACGTTGGTTTGAACCAGACACCGTTTCCCCTTCAAAGGGGGGGTGTTTCAATGGTCGCATAAGATGTCTTCAAACAAAACCCTAATCAAACCGCAGTTCAGGCAAGTAGGGACTCAAGGCATGATCAAATCCGGCCAGACCAGAGACATAAACAGGCGCAAATCATATCCGCCTTGTCGACTGTTTATCATGAGTTTTGGGTCGACGGATTCAGTATCAGGCTTTGAATATGTCTCATGTCTCACGTGTCGCTGCTCACCTGGCAGTATTGTGGAGGAAACCAAGGCACAGGGGTGCTTGGGGGGGGATCCTATGAATGAAAGACCGCTGGTTGCAAACAAGCTGAATGCACAGGGACTCCCATTGACCAAACAAGGGTCATGAGTCATAGCTGTGGAAAAACAGGCTTGCGCAGGTGAAAACCCAGTGCCAACAAGGAAGCTTCCTTCTCATTTGTGGTTTGAAGGTTAGGGGATGGCTTTTTCCCATTTACCCTCTTCAAGAACCAGAGCTTCAAATCCCCAACCCCCAATCCAAGGGTTGCCTGGCGCTGGACGTCGGACACATGCCACCCGGTCGCTCACCCAAGCGGGGCCCAGCATCCGCTCGCCACAGGCCAGCGCCAGCACTCGGAAGTTCCGCAGATTCAGGCGCGTGGCCACCTGCTGAGGGTCCGAGGGTGTGGGGAATGAACCCATGGATGCCCTGAAAGGTCAGTTTTCTGGGGATAGTTGTCAAACCAGGGGTCAACTATATGGGGATGCTCCAATCTGGGGATGATTTTTTGGGGGGTCATTCTCTCACTCCATGAACTGGGCTGGAAAAAATGATGGAGTAGCAAACCACTATAAAAGGGACCCGTTTCGAAACCGAGTTTCAGGGAACCCCGCCCTTGAGTCAGGACAGGTCGAGTTTGTGTAAGGGAGTTTGAGGGATGTGGCAGGAGACCAAGGCAACTTCCTGATTCTGAACTATTCGCAGGCCCTTCAATATTTGTTGGCTTCTTTGTCTGTCCCTGCGAAACCGACCAACAAGCGGGCCGGTTCCCAAAAAAGACACGCCCCTCGACTCCTTTTTCCCCCTTCGCGCCCCGGCGACGGCCTCCCTCCGCAAGGCGTCGAAGACCTCGTCACACGCTGTGGCCTCACGCGCCTCCGCCTCCGCACGAAACGCCGCCCACCAGGCTTTGAACTCCAACTCGGTGAGTACCGCTTGGCCGCTGGCAAGGTGCACGCTCGCCATGGCGCCCCCAAAAATGGAGGAATCACCACTGACGCCACAAAAAAAACATAAAATAACAAATAAGTGGTGTCCTCTTGGTTTCCCAAATGTTTCGTTGGGGTTCACAGACTTCCCAAACTGGTGACCCCTTTCTCCAAAATGAAAACCATGTTTCCTCTTGAACAAAGGAAAGGGGTACCAAGCTTCAAAACCAAGCACGGCTTTCTCTCTCTCAAAATGCGAAAGCGATGGCATCTCCTAAGAGGAGCTGCTCTAACCAGGTGAAACGTGGAGTCACCAATCAACTTGATTACCTAGACCACTAAACCGCTGACATCTTCCCCACAACCTACATTCGAATGTTTCCCAATTGGGTACTCTAGATCAGTCCTTGGTCTTCAGCATCTGGTGCCAAAGATCGCCGGCCCTGCTTGATCCAGAAAAAACAAAGGCATGCAGCTGGGTCTGCTTTGCTGGCGTTCTTTCTTTTCTGTTCATGTGCTTTTGCTTCCTTTCCTTGTCTTTTGCGTCGTACCTTTCTTGTTTGGTGTTGTTTTTCCCTTTCTTTCATTCTATGGCGAGCTTGAAAGGACAAGATCCTATGTGAACAACTGCCGTTTGTGCGCCACTGCTTGGTGGAGCCTTTCGTTGCTTTCCCCCAATGGGTCCATGGCACGCGAGAACACTCCACGTTGCTTTGCGCAGTTGTCCCAGTAAGGGGAAGGGGGTCCCCCAATTCCGTCTTTCTAGTCCAACCACACAAATGGAACATGGAACCACAAATAGACTGAAATACAAAGACCGTATGAAACCTTTGTACCCTGATACCTTAGTATCGGTTAGTATCTCTTTCTTCCTCAGCTTCGGAATACAATATTTGGGGATTGCGAGTTGTTCAGTGCACTCTGTCGTTGGCGTGGCCACGTAGCACGAATAGGAAAAACAGGCAGCAGGTTGCGGCACACGGATTTGTTTCGCGTGTTTCAAAAGCAGGTTCGGCCATGGAACAGGAACTCGAGGAGTTGGTGTGAAGATGGCAAACCAAATACACGCCGTGAAGCTGGACAGCTGGATGGATTTGGCAGGCATGAGTATCGGTTAGGTATCGACTGAGTATCAGTTTAAGCATCGGTTCGGGGCCTGTAAGTTTCCCACTCGGGAACCTCGGTTCAGCAACAATTGCCTTGTATTGCCTCTAACAGAGAGTGCAGCTCACAAGAGCCAAGGCAATTCGAACCAATTGTGCTGCTTTTTCTCTATGGTTTGACCCCGCAAAACAAGTCAAGGGACAGCCCCTTAGATAACGAAAGGGCGCGAGGTTTTTAGCTCGACCCACATGGACCTCCAGAGGTCACTCTCCCATTCTTGGTGGTTGCCTGCCCCGAAACGCCCGAAAGCTTAGCTTTCCGCTGGACAAAATGGGTGAAGCCTTTGAAGCATGCATCTTCCGCAAAGAGGTTGAGGAGCCAACTGCCTTGCCATCCGACAACTCCGCGCATCCGCGCCGGGCCGCGCTGAATCCACTGCAGGGTGATCTCGCAGCGATCGTGGGAGCCCTGCAAGAAGGCCAGGCTGCCCTCCTTGAGATCCACAGAGTCACAATCAAAACTTGGTCTAAGATAAGGCCCCAAGTTCTGGGGAATGACCAAATGAATGTTATAGAATGGGGTTCTGGGTGTGATCGAATGAATGACCAAAACTTGTTAATATATTCGACGAATGACCAAAACTTGTTTTGATCTACAACTTGGTCTAGAATGGGGTTCTGGGAATGACAAACAACACTATTTAGTGCTGGTTGGGTACGCAGTAACCGTTTGGCCCCCATTACCCAGCTCGCAATCTACCAAGTTTTGATCGTGCTCCTTTTTGGGTTGAAGGAAGACCAACAGGAATTACGTGTTTTTGCAGGGGTCCTGGATTTTGACACATATGCAGGTGGGTGTGTCGTTTATAGGGGTTTGCCCCTTTCAGTAGGCAAAAGGGGAGGGACTACCCCCCCCTCAAATCGTCGAGTTTGAGGGGAAATGGCGGGAACCAAAGGGAACCCTCCTCATACAAGGCGGCAAACGAGGAGGTTTCGGCCTCCTACCTTGGGGGAGGGGCCAGGGCTCCGCACAGATGACATGGAGCTACAAATGGAATTCCAAGGGAGATGTAACAGCTTTCATGGAATTCCCGAGGACATCTCCCCCCTTTTTCGGGGCTGGACTTGTTTCGGCCCCCAAAAAGTTTCTCCTCAAATCCCTCGAGGATGAAAAGCTCGAAGTTCTTGTCGTCCATGGTGGCAACCTGCCTCAGAGCCGACAAACCTAAATAGATCAATTATCAGTTAGATTGCAGGGTACTTGACAACCAAACTAAGACATGGTCATCAGATCACAATGTGTGTGAGTATTTCGCCCGTTATATTACCTACAAAGAGAATATTTGCGGGGAGGAAGCCCTTTCCTGCAGGTGTGCCCCTTCCCTACATTGAGGGCAACCTGCCTCAGACTTTATGGCCACAACCAAACATATTAGTGATATTAGTGAACCTTGAAATGAATAAACCAACCATGCCAAAGGAGCTCCCAGTTTCATGGCTGCAAACAAGGGAGCCCACATTCTCTCCCCCGCGAGCTGCAAACCGATAGGACATGGAGCATCAAAAACTGACCTAATATTGTCAGTTGCTCACATGGGCAAGAAGCCATGCAGTTCTCGCAAGGACATGGGACTATTCTGGCCCGTCAGGGTTCCGCAAACCCAATTCAACCATAAACCGGAGACTTTGACCGAATGGCGCAGGACTTGGCTTCCCTGAACAATAGGAACCCTCTAAATCCGCTGAGGGACGACCATTCCGACAACCTGGCTCTGACGCTCTGACTCCGAGTCCCGTGCTGAAGGGCACATCCATAGAGGAGGCTGTAGAGCCTTACGAGCTGGTGCTGGAAGTGCACCACCTCCTCAGGCACGGTGTGAGAAACCATCCGGGAACTGGAATGCCAACAAAGTGCTCTCAACTTCTCAATTTTGGGCTTGTCTGTTTGAACATGTATGTTTACCTAGGCCTGGCTGAGGCGAAAGCCTTAACTTACAGTCATCTAGGGGTCTGTGCACCAAGGCAACTACACCAGCCAAGGTTCATTCAGAACTTTCGGAGCCACCCTCTGAAATCCTAAGAAAACGAGAAGGGAGCGCCCCTTCCTTTTTCTTCACCACACCTGAGTCAAGAACTGGGAGGGCAGACTCCCCTCATACATGGAACGCCCCAAAAAGATGAATCACCGGGTTCATCAATTCGATTTGTTGGCGCTTCAAGCGACTCGACGACCTTGAGATCAAGGGGGCTCTCCTCCCGTTTCTCCGGGGCAGCGTTGCAGAAGGCGATGAGGCAACCTTGGCTGTCACATGGCCTACGCGCCCTGTCGGGGGCCTCTCGAACGTCTCGATTGCATTAAAAGATCTCAGAGAATTAAAATATATTGGAACAACGTGATGGCAACCAATAGAAAGAAACTGCAACCAGTGCTCTATTTATCATCTTCTACCAAAGTGACAAATAAGGGCACCTCTGAGATGTATGCATCTTGCGCAGTTGCCAAGGGCATCCAAGGGGGGATACCCCAGGCTTCCAAGGCTCCCCAGTTGCTTGGCAGTCTGCATCCATGGGTTACGAAAGCTTCAGGTCCCCTTTTGAAATGTGGTGTTCCAGCAAGAAGGAATGAACCTCGAATTGATATTACCTCGAATTGATATTCAAAACTCGGTCCAACCTATGTTGAACAAAACAGCCTCAGCCTGGAACCCACAAAGAGATGAGCTGTCCCAAACATGCGTGTACATTGCGGGGACTTCCGGTGGAATGGCATGCAAACGAAAACCGAAAACAGTTTGTTGAATCGTCACCCCCTCTGTCCAATCATCGTCCGAAAGGCGATGCTGAAACTGCCGAAAAGAAAACTGCCAGGCGGAGGGGTGTTCACCAACTGATTCAAATCCAGGGCTTTGACAGTTCAGACTTTTATGTTGGTTGCAGTCACCGCTAAACAACGACAGCACAGAAAAGTGTAAAAGTCCGAAAGGCTGGTCTTGGACCAGTCAGGTCTGAATTTGGCGGGGTGGGGGGAGTCTAGAAGCGCGTCCTAGAAGGCAACAAAAGCAACGGACAAAACTTGGTGCCTCAGCTGGGTCGCCTCCTTCTGCTTTTATCAGCCGGGACAAATGCACGAACACACCAAACACGAGACATAACAACCTGTCATGACTGGTTTGCTTTTAAACCCAACAGAGACAAACATACAGCAACCCCCCATTCCACCGGTTCCGGTGTGGCCGGCTTCTTGGCTTCTTTTCGGGGGGCTGTAGGAGTTGAACCACTCGCCCCGAAGCTGCTGGAGCAAAGTGCCGCCCTCCCACCACCGCGAGTACGCCTGCTGCGACCTGCGAGCCATGCGCATGGGTATGAACGGGGGGGCGCTGTTCCATGGCTTTCACGGTAAAGAACGTGAAATCAAAACCTCAAGCAGTCGGCCGTCTCGAGTGCAAATGAGAGGGAACTCCTCCAACTCATTTCCCATGAGCCATGGTGGAACAACTCCTTAAGCAGACTGAACTAGATGTTTCTCCAACAAGACACATTGAGAATCGATGGTCCCCTCTGGTTTTTGGGGCTAGGGTGCACCCCCAATGTTCTAGATGAGTCAGAAGCGTTGAAGGCGAAACTCAAAAGGTCATTTCAGGTCGATGGCTTCGGGCCGTGAGATTTCCCTAAACATCCCTGAGCAACTGGGATACCCAACGAGCAACGAGGCAAAGAGGGCTCAGGGAGGCCTTCCGGACACGGGCCCTCTGCTGTCTCAAAAAAGCGTTGCCGGCCCAACGCATCTACGGCGTCCACTGCTGCCAGAATGAAAAGGCTTTCCTGTCGCAAAGCACACACACACACATCTCGGTTGTTGCTTCGCCGCCTCTGTTCAGTTAGTTGGGGCTAGAAACCACCTAAATGAGACTCACTGGGTGTACGACCCTCTCATAAAGAAACAAAGGTGGGACAGAGGGCCTGAAGACGACCAGGAAGCCCAGGATGAAGGTGAAGCCCCCAAGGACGTTTGCTTCCGCATCCCCCGCGCCGATCTCGTCCAAGGTGGTGGGCGAGTAGCCTGCATAGGATCCAACCCCCTGCCCCACCCCTTTGCCTGGGCGCCTACCACCTGTTTTCCCAAAATAGAACCCGGACACAGCGGGAACCCGCCAAACACAAAATGGAAAAACAAGGGACAACTGGGGGTTGGGGTTCTTTGGGTTTAAAAGCATCCACACACGGTTTCCCATACCGGAAAGAGCAAACCCCTGCCAAGGGCGCGCCTTCTAGAAATGTTGAACCGCACCAGGTTGGTTTCCTTGGTTTCCTTGAAGCACCATCCTAAAGGTGTCGAAGTCAACTTATGAAAACACCGACTGTAAACCTCAGGTCAGTCCAGTGCTTGATCCACCCGCCTGTTTCATCCCTTGTTCTTGCCCACCCCTCCCCCAACCCATCTGAAAATGCCGCTGTTTCTTGTGGCAAACCCCCCAAGGACAAACATCCCCGGAAAGGCTTGACATCTCGGTTTCATTCGGGACATGTTTAGGGACTTGAATGCCTGATGGCCCACTGATGGCCTTCTTGGCTTAAAGGCCGTCTGCCTTGGCGGAGCCTGGTACAACAAAAAACATCTCCGTCGGGCCCAGCAGCAACGGAACACGCCGGAAGCGCCCAAACAAACTTCAGTCATGACACGTTGCAGTTTCTCTAACGGAAAAGTCAAACATTGCCTTCAGCCGCTGGAAGTTCCCTACCTTTTCCCCTCCAATACACGCTCCACCGGGACAAACCGAAAATCCCCCCCTCGACAACAAAAACAAGAACACATTCTTCCGTTCTGTGATAAAGTGACTGATTCCCACAACTCTTCTAGCGGAATGGGATTTCCTTGGCCACGCACAGAAACTGGCCCTAATCCCCAATTTTGCAGAACCATGCTTGGGGCGACAACCCGTTCTTCCCTCCAACGAGGCACGAAAGGACCAGTGCAGAAGAACTGCCAGGCCAGTGCACAGGCTGGCCGGAGCCTCGGTTGCCACGGAATCCTCGGTCCCCTACACGGATCTGGTGGTCACCTTTTGGTTGCCCTTTGAAACCAACCACAAGCAAGGTCCCCCAAAGAAAGGAGATACCTTTAACTTTCTTGGGCTCATGCACTCACTCTGGGCCCATGAAAGCGACATCCGCCAAAATGTCCCGAGCTACAACATGCGGCTTGGGAAACCAACGGCGCTTTTGAAGCGCTTGGAATGTTCACTGTCACTCTAGGTGAGGAGTACCACGAAAATCGAAAATACGCAGGCGCTCTTTGTTTGACACGTGTAGGGGTTTGAGTTAAGGGGGGAAGCCATGGACCAATCCTCCCCTTGTCGCCATCCAATGAAGCAGGAGTGATATCCGTTGATCAAGTATAGCAGACTGGAACACGAGACCTCAGACCGGACCCTGACAACCTCAGCACGGATTTGTGAATTCGATCCAAGGTCGGCTCGGTACCCTTTGTGCAGACTTTGTCTGCTTGACATACGGAAGAATAATCAACTCCTGGTTGATTTCACGACCGGGTGCTGTGCCGAACACGACATGACCTCTTCCCACATCAGGGTCTCTTGTCAGGGACTGTTCCATTCTGAAATTACATGCCCTTTGTATGGATATAGTCGGCTTCTTTACCGCCTGGGAAGCAAGCATTTGATTGTGAATTCACCTGAACGGCCACCCCGCCCCCCAGTCTCTAGTTCCAAGGGGCTAAACTCAACCTCAACCTGATCTAGAGGACCGTGCTCATCAGGCAAGGTTCCCTTTAAGTGGTGGATCACTTTCTAGAAAATTCCTCGGGTTATTATGGTCATCCTCGTTAAGTTGCATTCTCAACAGTACCCAACACCACTATAGTAAAGAATCGAGAGAGCTCAATGCCGCTTTCATTGGGACTATCCCTCCATTGCTCGCTTTCACTTGTGGCCACAAAGAACATTCTGCATTTCCTTTCAAACACACCCAACCACTACATCCTCGAAATAACGAACCCACACCAACTTTGACATGTTCGGCTTGCGCTCTTTTGGCCAAACCCCCTTGGTGTCACCGGTGTTTCCTGTGGTTTTCCAGTTGGTTCGAACCTGTGGCGCTCGTTTCGCTGGCCGAAAACGACTTCCGGCGCGGGCCGAGGGGCAAAGGCCCTGGGGAAAACCGAGCCCCGAAGCCGGCAGGCGAAGCCGACTCCGTAGGAGCCAGGGTCATACCTCGAAAGCGGGGGAGCAAAACGCGAAACACGGGGAAAACCAAAAAAAACCCAAAGGAACCCGGAGAATCACCCACAGAACGCCAAAGAAGACGAACCAAAACGAAGGGAAACCAAACGAAACGAGAGAACACCCGAAGAAGAAAAAAAACGGGAAACCAAAGGAGACCAAAGAACATCCAAAGAAAACCAGCAGAAACCCAAGGAAAACCAAACACAAAACCAAACAAGACCAAAGGACATCCAAGAGAACACCTCAGGAAAGCAAGCAGCCTTCAGCAGGACCAGCATGATTTACCGAACGTTAAACATAAACCTCCTGCTCTCCAAAACCCATCTGGGGACTGGTTGATGCTTCCAGAAAGGCCCTGCATTGGTTGGCTTACGGGAGAGCATGTGGAGGGTTCTCAGTAGATGGCCACGGGGGATGAAGCATGACATAGCGCCAAAAGCGGGCCCCCGAAACCCCTAGTGCAACCAAAGTGGCACGATCATGGCGCCAGCTAGGCGCGCCTGCAGCAGGGCCGCTAATACAGGACCCTTTCCCGTGCGCTTCCCCGGGAGAAAAGCGGGGCCAATGTTGTCCATGGGGCTTGCAATTTGTGGGAAGTCAATTTCAAGACGGACCCAGTAGAGTAGCTGTCTGTGCAGCTCGGTGCCTGAACCCTAGGAATGTCCCAACCCCCGCCCCCTGTGCGGGCCGGTTTGGGTTGAAATAGGGAACTCCCAAGATGGGTGCTTGCCTTGCGGTTCCCTTGCAAGCCCAAAAGCGCCAAAGACACATCCAAATGGTTGGTCAGACCTTTTTGTACGCCGTACCCCAAACCACTACCCCTTACACAAGGGGATACATTTGCAATCTGTCCGCAGCTGGGCTTGGGTGTTTCCAACCCCAACCCTCTACACAACTCCCAATTCTGGTGCCTGCACTCTTTTGCTCCAAAGGACATGGCGGCACAAAAGTGTTCCTGCCATACCAAAGTGCCTGATTTTCCACCAGGTGATCAGCGCATGTCGAGGATTACTTCGGCCCTCGCAGAAACAATCGACCCAACACTTGGCTTGCTCCACCTCATGGGGGGCAGCCCGAGTTCTCTTCCAACACCCAAATCGTTTACCGCCTTCCCCCGGCCCAGCCGACTCCGCCTCCCTGCGGGCACCCAACTTCAGCTCACCGCGTCGGAGCCAGGCTCGAGGCGAACCGCTTCCCGCGAGCTCGGAAGGAAAGCGAGCCTCTGACTGCGGGCTGGGGGAGTCTCGAGTGGATTCCTAAGCGAAGTCGTTACAACACAGTGAGGGCGGCTTCTATGGCGTTAAGGACATATTGAAAGGGAAACACCCGGGCCAGTTTCCAGGTGGTCATGATTCACCAAGCATGATAATTCAAGCATTCACAAGATACTATCTTCCTGCAGGGAAAACATATTTCGCTCAAGCGTCTGCTTCCAATTGCCTCTAAACATCATCGCACCAAAAACAACATTCAAATGTGCCCGAAAGTTATTGAAGGGACTGCATAAGTCCGAACCGGCATAATCTGCCAAAGTCCAGGGTTGAACCCCTTTCAACCCCGGTGGCTCTTGATTGGTCGGCTTGAAATGGCATACAAGACAAATCTACTTAGAGGGGGCCAGGCGATTTCCAATGCCTTTTTACAAGAGCAGCAACTTGCAAATTGCTGGATCTACCCTTTACCGGGAATGAACAACAGACATCTCGCGTACTTTATGAGTATGAATGTGCATATTGGGCACACTCTTTGGTGAACATCGTTTACAACGGGGATGCAACGGGAGCTTCTGTTGTTAACAACCATTTGGCAGCGTGATCCCAAGTCACCCAGCGCTTCCTTTTTCTTCCGTTCGAAGGCTTCCTGCAATTAAGTCGTTGGCATGTGGCACGGCAGCCCGGCTGACTGACACATTTTTAGCTTGGAATCTGCTACGCAACCAAGCCCAACCGCCACTTCGCTCAGGCTGGTGGGCTCCCTACATTTCCCTTCACCCCACGTCAGGCCAAATTGGTGATGTTTAGAACCGCAAGGGAACCCTGTTTAACCAAAGGGGGATACATTCTTGGATGGCAAGGGGGCATTTCCTGTTCAGCTCACCCCGGGTTGGCAAAAAAAAGGTGGGTGCAATCGGCCGGTGCCAGGCTGTTGGTGTTCAAAGGGCAAACAAAAACAGGCGCGCACAAACAGGCCCAGAAGCAACCTACCCGACGTCTCCGAACAAAACACATAATACAACTTCGTTGGCCAAACTTATGACATTCACCATGAGTGATCATCCTTCGCCAGTCTCGTGACCACTACTCGCTTCAAGAAGTGTTCATAACTGATGTTCCTGATTGGGTTTCCTGCAAGCTTAGTGCCAAGCACAAGCGCTGGCTCTTTGCAGAATCTTTTCTGGCAAAGGACCGCCAGGTTATTCGTTATTCGGGATTTTGCGGGGAAGGCTCCGAGGCTGGCGGGTCTACTCCATGGGCTTGCCACGGATGCTTTTTGAGGGTACCCCTTTTCACCTTGGGGAAACCAACAGAACAATCACCATTTGTTGCGTCCTAGTTTATTACATATTGTACCAAAAGAAAGGAGTGCAAGAAGTCGATTCCTGTGTTGGCCAAACAAGTACCCTTCTGCGGGGAATTTGACCACTCGCTCTTGGAAAGATATGAGCCGACTTGCTTGGCCCAGGGACCTAACAGGTTCACCTGGGACCTTGACTAAACAGACCAAACCGGGAATCCAACACGTAACTTCAGGTCCATTCGCTTTTGAGATTCGTCCAGGGGCGGCTTGCCCCTTTGCAGGGAACTGATCATGATGTTTGGGGGGGGGGGGTCCTCTGACCAGGGTCAAGGGATAGATCATTGGTGAGGAGAAGCTCATTCCAAAGTGCCACTCTCTGCCGGGCTGAAGGGAGCACAGCAACCATTCCACGCCTCTTAGCGCATTCAGGATCCCCAGGATCCTTGCTGGATCTATGATAACACCACTGTTTGTTCAGCAAAAAAGATGTGGTTGCGTTGGGTGTGTTAAGATTTGCCATGAACAGGAGCAATGTATAAATGTCAAAGGTCTAGACATGCAATTGACAAGGTGTGTGTGTGTGTGTGTGATATAAGACACAGACCTCCAAGTATGGAACCTTGATCACAGTCGAGATGCTTAGACGTTGTGACTTGCTGGCAGGGTCGCTATTGTCCACCCAGCTGCAAATTGGAGTACGTGGTACCCCAACTCTGGCCCGCCCACGTATATATGTATATATCTATATATATATATATGCCCCATCCATGCTGGCAAGTGAAAGAGCTTGACTGTTTGGTTGAACCCACTTTGGTATACTTTCAACAGAAGTCCGATATTCTTAGGGCTTCCCCCAAACAAACCTAACTAAAGGGAGGGTGAAGAGGTAGGACACAGCCAAACCAGGAGAAGATAGACTTGAACCCCCTGGACTTAAGCCTTTCACAGCGAGCAAAACCTAAGACGAAGACTGGGCGTTTTCGATTGGGAAGTTATCGTTTTTGGGGTTTCACCATATCGTTCCTGAAGATTTCGGACACTTGTCTTGGGGGAGAGTTTAGCCTCTTGCTCACCTTGGATGTCCAATCCCTAAACTGATATTGGCTCAATGCACCAAATTTCAATCCACCAACATCCAATCCAATAACCACCGAAATAGGCTCAATCCCAACATCCAATCCAGTTTGAGGACACCTGATTGTTTGACCCAAATCGTGAGACGAACAATGCGCTGGAGGCGGCGTGCGCTAGTCTCGCCCAGTCTCTCGCTCGGCGCGGCGGCACGGGATTTGCGCGGCCAGGCCAAGCAAAAGGGGCCATATTTCCAGGGTACCCTGCAGCGACGTTTCTGGACGAGTTTTGACCAAATCACACAGCCAGGTTGAGACTTGTTACATTGTCAGCCCCCTCAAAGAACCGAAGAGCACTTCAAAGGGCCGGACATCTGCGAGGATGTGTCCCTGATCTTCAGAAAAGGGACACCAAAAGCAAAGTGCCAGGAACCTTCATGGGGCCCTTGGAATTCACATAGGTGAGGTCGCCATTTGACTTGATTTGTCCATGGTCCATAGGCGAGGTCGCCAGCCATGGGCAATTACTCTTGAATTGAGAATGAGATGAATCCCCAATGGACCTTCAAATTGGCGAAGTCGATCTCGGTTTAACCCCCGGATCTGCAAGCTCGTGAACTAATTTGTGCAGACGAATACGGCAAGCCAAATCCCACCTCGTGGAAATCAAGGGATTTTTCGTTGCAACCAGCGCCCCGAAGGCTAGGAAAAATGGTGAGCCTTTCAGTGGGGAAACCAACCAACTTAAATGGGGAAAAACGTGTCCGCGAACTGGGCAGAGGGGTTTCTTCATTTTCAACGGTCGAGCAGCTTTGAGAGTCAAATCCACGCTAGGCTCCTTAGGGTACCAAGACCTGATGGCTTTCCAAGACCTGACGGCCCAGGGAAGGCATTGAGAGCATTGCAACCAGCCGCACCGAAACAGCTTCGAGCTGTCAGCATGTTGCGCAACGTGCAGCTGCACTTTTGCTGCCAAAAGACAGCATATATGTTTTTGGACACGGCAAGTTCAAATTGAACCTCACTGGGCAAAATAAGAACTGCTGCAAACGGAAGTAGAGCTGTGCCGAGACAAGTTGGACCCCTTCTCATGGTTGTTTTTATGCGTGTCACCAACCGGATGCTCGTACTCGACATGTCAAGGCGGACTGGTGTGTCCCTTGCGCAGCGGGGGAAATAGATACACCGAGGGACCTTCATGAAATCGTTTGTAGGGCACAAGTCAGATTCAATCGGAAGCATTGCACCAAGCGTGGCTAGTCATCTTCTTGATGACTGCCGGGCAATCCTCATCCAAACGATTCCAATGGAGAACTGACTAATTGCGAGGGTGATCTTCGACCTTTCATGACCTACGGAAGGGATTATTGCTGCCTTGGAACGGCCCAGAATCTACACGCACAGTAGCCATGAGGAAAAGAAAACACTCGGCGTTTCTTAGCTGTTACCCAACACAATGGAAAGAGGCAACTTGGAGGTTCAAACGTTGCCAACGTCCATAAACCGCTGCTCTGATTTTGGAGGTTTGCGGGTCCTTAATTACAATCCTCTAAACTTGAGCTGCCTAGCGTCGCAAGCTCATTCCGGAGCGGCTTCTGAAGATGACTCGGTATTCGAAGGCAAGCAGGGGCTTGCCGATGCAAATGTGGCGTTGAAAATCTTGGACAACGGGGAATCATGAGGGGAGCTATGCCTTGTTTGACAAGTTGTTTCTCTGGTTTCCTCCACCTTTCACCACCAATGCAACATGCAGAACTCTACTCCAGGTATCCATCCTGCAATGCATACCGTGTGCATGTAGATGCACAGGGAATCCATTCCTCAGCTACTAGGTTAATCTCTTGCCACGTATGACTCACGGATAAAATCACTTGCTTCCCCAAGAGGATAGAGGATATGGAGAAATTGTATCCCCTGGTTTCTGCTGGTTGCTGAACATGCCAGGCCAAATATGGTTGCGTTCCCTTTTCGTTCAGGAAACGTTGTTCGGCGTTGCAAATTCAAAGGACCTCCCAAAGAAAAAGAAAACCGTGATTCATATCTGCGAGAATCAGGCTGCATGGCCACATGCGGGATTGTCAAAAAGGGGAACCCTCTAAAATGGTTGGTCTCCTTTCGGTTCTCCTTTAAATCCAGCCAAAGGGCGTTTGCAAGAAAAGTAAATCCGTATCTGCAAGACCCCCACTTCACATCTTCCGCGCCCTGACAGCGCCCAGGCGCGCAGGGCGCAATTCAGCCGGCGATCGCAGGCCTTCGAGGCTTGGGGGTCACCAATTCTTTTTCTGGACACTTTGGACATCATTTCCCGGTTGCAACCAGTCGGCGGCAAGAAAAAATGGGTTCACTTCTTTTTGGGGCTGGGTTCATTTTTTGTGAATGCCAAGCAAGAACATTCGGGTGCCACCGAAGGACTAGGATCAGGGGGATACTTGCCCACCATTGTTGGAGTTCGCTACTAAAACTCCTATAGCAATTTTGGGGCCGGCGCGCAGCTGTCAAAAGCAGGTTGGCCCCGTTTGCCCTGTTTGGGAGGTCCCTCTCTGCGCCAACTCTGAAGGCAACCCCATGTGGATTATGCTGATTGGCTCAACACCATCTTTTGCGTGTCACGTGTCAAATGAAACTCTGAAGGTCGACATCCCCCAGGA